GACCTATATATACTATTTTACAATTAGGGAACATGAGCATCTGTGGGTTTTGCTATCTGTAGAGAGTCCTGGAATCACTCACTCAAGAATACTGAGGGACAATTAAAGGTTTGGAGGAATCAAAAGCTACATAAGGATTTTCAAATGTGTGTAGGAGGTGTCAGCTCCCCTAACCCCTGCACTGCTCAATGGTCAACTGTACTCTCCTGTCTACTTTTGTATGTTTGAAATTGACCATGATACAAAGAAAAAGAGAAAAAAAAAGAGAAAGAACCTATCAAGTGAAAGTTTAAAAATATAAAATCAGGAGGAGTCTATGAGCTTAAATTAAAAGTTTTGTATACACCTCTGCTGTGCCTAATTTTCTATTTCTATTATACTGTTTAGTTGTCCACTTCTCTTTGTTTGAAGGACAATTAATTGCTTTGTGGGTATGGAATTAAAGAGAAAAAAGATCATTAAAATTTTTTTCCTTTTGGCCCTGGCTGGGTAGGCTCAGTTGGATGGAGCATCATCCCAGACACACAAAGGCTGTGGGTTCAATCCCTGCTCAGGGCACATACCTAGGTTGCAGATTTGATTCCTGGTCTGGGTACATACGGAAGGCAACCAATTGATGTTTCTCCCTTTCTCTCTCTCTCAAATCAAGAAACACCCTTGGTTGAGAATTAAAAACAAAAACAAAAAGAAATTTCCCTTTTGGCAACAATGTAGACTCCTCTTTCCCCACCAGGGCTGTGCTGTTTTTATTTTTCATTTTTTTTCCCCCAACAAGGTGTTCATGAATTTTACATTGTTCTGCATAGACGCCACTAATTTTTTTCCCCCTTTCTCTGAATTCCATTCATTCACTCATCCTTAGACTAATTTATTTTTATCTCTCGCAGACAAACTATCTCAATCTTGATTCCATGCCTTGGGCTACGACCACCCAAGGTATTCCACCTGATAAGACAATTTGCTAGGTCTTAAAGTAATAATGTTTTCTATAAAACTGCGTACTCATGTCATACTTAAAACGTATCATCTAATTTTTTAAGCATTACATACATTGAATCCATTTATTATCTTAAGGTGTTCCTGTAAACTACATTCAGTAAAAGACTACTGTGAAGCAGGTGTCTTACATAACATTAAACAATAATTAGGAGTTACACTCCTAACACTGAACAGCGAATTATGGAAATGACTAGCCATGTGCGTAAGCATGGCACTGGTTAACAGGCAGCGCTATATAGGAGGTTAAGAATACTGATGCTACAGCCAGAATGCCTGGGTTCCAATTCTGATGCTTAGTAGCTATGTGGACTTTGGAAAAGCCACCTTATTGGTCTGTGCCTCAATTTCCTGAACAGTAAACCCTACTTTATGGGACTGTTCAGCAGGGTTAAGAGTAGAATATTAAATTAATATTTGTAAGGTATTTAGAACAATGACTGGCACACAATAAATACTATATAATCTTACATAGTATATGTAAGTACAGTAACATAAACTTAATAGTAACATAAACTTAAATGGTAAGTACACAAATGCACATGTTTTATTAATTAAAATACAATTAAAAACAAAATTATTTTATAGTCTAAGTCTGAAATGAGCACAGAATATTATAGCAACTAGGATCTGAATGTATCATACATTAAACATCTAATATAAAAAACACAATTCCACTTAATTACTCTGTGTTAATCAGGGAATAGTCTTAGTATGTGACCTAAAACTAATAGGTAATCTTAACAGGCATTTATAAGTATTTTAAACCCTTTTAATAAGAGTACACTGCTTTCTTAGTGGGGAAAAGGTTCACAGGAGGTAACTTAAATTTTCTCTCACACATCAGTATCTCTCTCTAAAACCAATAAACATATATCCTCGGGTGAGGATTAAAAAACGGAAACACCCACATTACTGGGACAACTGTAAAAATGTGAAAAAGGACTGCAATTATTCTAAATATTACTATATTAATATTAATTTTCTAAATCTGATCATTGCATTGTGGTCACATAAAATATTGTTTCAGAGGATTAAATTGAAGTAATTCATGGGATTAAACTAAATTATAAGATTAATCTGGATGTTTGTATATAACTCTCAAATGATTCAGAAAAAAAGAAAAATGCAGAGAGTGGCAAAACAAACATCACAGCATGTTACCAATATGTAAATTTAGATCAAGGTTATACCGGTATTCGGCCCTGGCTGGTATGGCTCAGGGGATTAAGTGCTGGCCTTCAAACCTAAAGGTCCACGGTTCGATTCCTACTTGGGACTGATGACTGGATTTTGGGCCGGGTCCCCAGCTGGGGGTGTGTGAGAGGCAACCAGATATATGTAACTCTTGCATATCAATAGTTCTCTCCCTCCCTTCCCCAACCTCTAAAAGTAAATAAATAAAATCTTTAAGAAAAAATCCTGGCTGGCGTAGCTCAGTGGATTGATTGAGCACGGGCTGCGAACCAAAGTGTCGCAGGTTCGATTCCCAGTCAGGGTACATGCCTGGGTTGCAGGCCATGACCCCCAGCAACCGCACATTGATGTTTCTCTTTCTCTTTCTTCCTCCCTTCCCTCTCTAAAAATAAATAAAATCTTTATATATATATGGCTATATTTACTGTTTTGTACATTTTTTCAAGATACAAAATTTTTTAAAAAGAGCTGGACAAAGAGTCCACCTTAGGTTTGAAGTTTTATACATGATCCAGAAAAAGCTCCACTACAGTTACAGCACCATATATTTACAAAAATGGGGCAGGCAAAAAGCAAACAAATGTCTCATTTTAAGTAGTAATGATAATCTGTTAGCCCACCCCTCCCTTAAAAAACAAAACACTAAGTTCACAGCAGGAAATTACTTCCTAGAAGTAGAACTGAAGTCTACAGAACTCTTTTTTATTATCACATAGATGTCATTATATATGTAATGAGAAACAAAGCTGAGATATTTAGTATTCTCAAAAATAAGTCTAGAGGCAGATGATATACTGCCTACGTGTGGTGAACAAAGAGAGGTGTCTATTACCCAGAAAAAGTAACTACTGCAAATTCTCAGAATTATCACTCTCTAATCGGACAGGTAAGGTCCATTGTTCAGTAACTTCTTGAGTAATCATTTACTGAGCACTGACTGTCTGTGGTTCTGTGCCTCGTGTAGAGAGAGGGTAAGACACGGCCTTGCCTTGAGGAATTCAGCCTGTTTAAGAGTCTCTTGTCAATATATCTCAATTAAAAAAAGTCTCTTTACATCGTAACAAAATTTTTAATTTCTAAATTTAGTAATAATATAGGCAACCCAGAAACAATTTGCAACTAGTGCTTAACGGCAATTAAAACTGTCTACTTTAAGAATCAGAAGTTTGCTTCCATAATATTTACAACCAAAAAGCATTCAACTTTACAACAGACTTTATAAGGATCCTATACAGAACATGTGTCAAAAGACAAAAGTCTGTGGGAACGGCTCTCCTGGCCTCTCCCTGCCCTAAGGCTGCTCCTTGTTTGATCCCTGCCTGGGCAAGTCAGGCCTCACTGCAGAAGCCAACTTTAAGTGCACTTCAGCCAGCAGTCACGAAGAGCAAAACGTCAGTGTGTGAATTAACTGCTACTGAATTGTAGTTGCTTATCTTGTTTTTGCTGAAATACAAATTTATTTTTTATAAAAAAAATCCACTAATCAATCTGAGATCTGTCTCTTAATTATGGGTTCTTATAAATAAAATCACAAGCCAGAATCTAAAAAGCGTCAAAATCCTGAATAATCTAACCCTCATAAAATGGATCTCTAAAAAATAAGGCATCTGCTACTCTACAGCTCATAGTTTTTTTTAAAAAAAACCTTAGGAACCCACAATTTTATGTCTGGATTTCTGCAAGTAATTTTTAAATGGTTCCACAAAAATTATAAAAAGGAAATGTACATTGTGGAGACCTGCATTTTTTCATTTCTGCTGAGAAATACTCTATTTATACCTTCAGCTTAAATTCTGAGTAAAAGGTTTCACTGTATAAAGTAAGCACGACAGTTAATTATATGCTGTTATCTTTGGTATTTCTTTTCCCTCAGATTTGAAGAGATTAGGAATGATTGAGGAGAACCTGTTTGTTAACTACCTTAGTTGTAACTCAAGTTTACATAGAGTGCCTGACCTAAATGAAGCTTTTCTCTAATGCAAACTAAGTTAAACAATCAAAATTCTGTAAATCTGGGCTCTAGAATCACACCTGAACTTACATTTTATACACTACAACTTAAAAGAAATTTTAAAAAAAAGTATTGTAGCCCCAGCTGCTATAGCTCAATGAATTGAGCGTGGGCTGTGAACCAAAGGGTTGCTGGTTTGATTCCCAGTCAGAGCACATGCCTGAGTTGCAGGCCAGGTCCCCAGTGGGGGCCACATAAGAGGCAACCACACACTGATGTTTCTCTCCCTTCCTCTCTCTCTAAAAATAAATAAATTTTAAAAAAGTATTGTAACCCATCAAGTTAAAACAGGTTTTATAAGATTTACTTAACAGAAACTTTCATGGCTCAGAAGTGTTTCAAGTTACTTTTGGGAAATGTAATTCATTACCCGAAAGAGCAATTTCACTTTAACAAAAATAAATTTGAATTTATTTTCAAGAAACAAAACTATCTATTTCTCCTACATAAAACGTAAATCCAAAGAGTTAAAAGGAGAAATTCTATGGTCAATCAACCTTTTAAACTACTTTTGAAGAGAGAGAGAGAGATACACACACACACACACACACACACACACACACAACTTAGTAATGTTTTTGTAACCTAAATCATCAACTAATCGTAGAATATGAGAGACAATGTATAGAGAAGGTATTATTCAGTGCCTGGGTAGGAAAAAAATGGCAGAAGACCAGCACATGCTGTACCGCCACCCCTCCCGGCCCTGCTCGTGGAACTGACCTCCGCTGTCACCCACGAGCACAGACGAGCTGGGACAGCTTCTGACTCTGATAAAACTATATTCTCCCTAGAATCACTGTTTCAATGGTGATTTTTTTTTTTATTAAAAGAGCTATTTAAAACATGTGATAAGAAATCTGACTTTCATAAGTACCACAAATAAGTTTACTTAAAATTAGCTCAGTTACATATTTTTTAAAAGTTTCAGAACCTCTCCCAACCAACGTCCATAAACTAGAGTACGTTTGCATGAAACCTGCAGTCCAAAGGAGCATCGGTAAGTGATGGTCTAGGTACCGATGCATTTCTCTTGCTGCTGAGAGACAGTCATGAACAAAACACATCTCTTGCCTGGATGAGTAGGAAGAACTCACTTTCAAAAGAGCTTCATAAAATGTCTATGAAAGAGAACTGGTACTATCAGAAGAGTTCCAGTACTTCAATTGAATATAATTCTCTACTATTCTTTTCTTGATTTAATTTCTGCAGTTCACGAAAACTTACTTCAATCTTGTTGAGCTCGGAACAAATGCATATCTAAAGAAAAAAATTTCAGAATAACTTTTACTATAATTTCTACATACGAGCAAGCCCTCCATGATTAGTTATAACTATTCCAAGAAAAAAATTTAAGAGTAAGTTATAATTTAGATGATACCTGGGTACAAACAGAATTCATATATATATATATGAAAATCACACACCTGAGATTTCACAAACTTGTAAAGACTCAACAGTAGCTTCTTTGCTTCTGGTATCATTACCACAACAGTAAAATTAGCATCTAGAAGGAGGCATATCCAATCCATAATCTGAAGATAAACAGGAAAATGGAGAGTTAAGATTTTAAATTCAATTTTAGGTTAATTCATTTGATAAAGTCTGTGATTATACCAAGCAGTTATAAAAAAAAACCCTCTTCTTTACAAAAATCTGAAAATTTTAGTTTAGCAATAAGAGAATTTCTAAACAATATAGAAAGGCTCTTTTCTGAAAGCCACAGTGACATTTAATCCAAGGGAAAGTTAGTACTTATCTTTTTATTTGAAGTATTTTTTGGGGATAATTACTGGCAGTTCTCCCCTATTCTGAAATACACACTATACCCAAAGAACAGGGTGTTGAGTACTGAGGATGAGTTACCATGAACAGAAGTAAAAACTTTACTATATAGTTACTAAAATATCCCATGGAGTTCTATATTTCCAAATAGTATAGTTAACATGCAAATATCACTGTCATGAAAAAGCATCAAGGAAACCAATGATCTATTTGGTGGGGGGGAGGAGAAAAGGTGATCCCTATGAAACTCCTCACACCAAAACAGATTTTATACGCATTAAAGAGGTAAACACAGGAAAGGAGACCATGAATGGACTAGGGAAAAAATAGTGTGGCTATTTTTTTTTAATTTATTTATTTATTTTTAGAAAGAGGAGAAGGGAGGAAGACAGGGAGAGGAACATTAATGACTGGCTGACTCTCACACGCCCCCAACTGGGGACCTGGCCCACAATCCAGGAATTCGCCATAAGGAATGGAACTGGAGACCTGTCGGATGGCAGGCTGTGCTCAATCCACTGAGCCACACCAGCCAGGGCATTGTGGCTATTTTTATATGTTAGAGTGGAAAGGTAATTAAGCATGACATAGCCACAAAGAAACCATAAAAAAAAGTTTAACAATTTTGATAGCATAAGTATTAAAAACTGATGTATGGCAAAAAGAACACCAACACTAAGAGGCTCTGGCTGGGTAGCTCCATTGGTTTGAGTTATCCCGATTTGCCAAAGTTGTGGGTTTAAGTCGTGGTTAGGGCATATACATGAACCAATCAATGAATGCATAAGTAAGCAGAATGACAGGTCAGTATTTCTCTAAAAATCAATTAAAAAAACACTAAAGAGAATAAAAAGACAAGTGATAGGAAAAAGTATTCATAATGTACTTGATTTAAAAAGAGCTAATTTCATTAACAAAGAACTCTTTAAATTTGTTGTGTTTTTTTTTTTTAAAGATTTTATTTATTTATTTTTAGAGAGGGAAGGGAGGGAGAAAGAGAGAGAGAGAGAAACATCAATGTGCGGTTGCTGGGGGCCGTGGCCTGAAACCCAAGCATGTGCCCTGACTGGGAATCGAACCTGTGATACTTTGGTTCTCGGCCTGCGCTGAATCCACTGAGCTACACCAGCCGGGCCTTAAATTTGTTTTTAATTGCTGAAACTAGGAATAAATCTATAAGTAATTCTTTGTAAGCCAAAATGAAAAAGACATGAAATGCAATAGGAAAATGAACAAAGATCCAAACAAGGCACTTTACAAAAAGGAATATACATAGGCAAGAAAAGATGGTCCACCTCTCTCATTATCAAAGAAAAAGCAAATTAAAATAAAGCACCATTTGTTACTTATCTGATTGGCAGAGTAAAGCCTCTGACCTTGGTGGCAGTAGTACCTATTGTCACAACCCTTCAGGAAGGTAATATGGCATTTTTGAAACAAAAAATGTAGCCCTGGATGGTGTGGCTCAGTGGACTGAGTACTGGCCTGTAAACTAAAGGGTTACTGGTTCAATGCCCAGTCAGGGGCACATGCCTGGGTTGTGGGTAAGGACCCTAGTAGGGGGCGGGCAAGAGGCACCCACACACTGATGTCTCTCTTCCTCTCTTTCTCCCTCCCTTCTCCTTTCTCTAAAAATAAATAAATAAAATCTTAAAAAAAAAAGAATCAGGAATTTAAGATAAATTTTAAATTCTTTAGTGTAGAATTACAACTTTAAAAAGCTATCTGCCGGATTGAGAGATCCTTGCACTCTCCTAGTGAGATACAGGATGAGGAGGCAAGTTCACATGGACTAGCAGACAAGGAGAAACCAGTTACCGAATTTCATGTTCGGACACTATATATGAGCTTTTTCAACAGCACCAAACAAAAGTAAAAACATTACCACACCTGGTTCAGGGTTGGAGGGTGCACTCCCGGGAGAGTCATAGTAGCATTTTCACTACACTTCAAATAAAGGAAATACAAATACTGTAGAAAGAGCTGGGTGGGAAAATAAAAAGGGCAATTTATCACTTTGACAGAAAAATGTTCTCTCTACATAAAGCTAAACAAAGAGACTGGAAGGAATTTTTAATTTTTTAAATTTATTTTATTTTAATTGTTGTTCAAGTAGTTTTCTGCCTTTTACTCCCATCCCAGCTCACCACCCCCCGGCCCTCCTCACCTCCCTCCCGTTTCCACCCCTCCTTGTTTTTGTCCATGTGTCCTTTATACTTGTTCCTGCAAACCCTTTCCCTTTTCCCCTGAAAGGAATTTTAAGAGGCTACTGAATTGGACTGAGGACACAAAAAATGAATAAAATGCAGTCCCTGGCATCAATGAGTTAGTTCATCTGATTTGGGACTGATGATGAATGGATAAATGCGGAGAGCTCATTCTGTTTATACATAGTAAGTAGAGAAGAGAGCCTACTTCTCTGAGCAATTTGTTTTAGATTCTACTCATTCATAACTTAGATGGAGTAGCCTGGCCTTCAGGCTTGGCACCAGGAACATGCTAAGGTCTGCCACCCAGAAATCACTGTAGTCTCCTAGCAACAATTTTTCACGATGAAGGCTGGGAAACCTCTTGTTTACGTGAAGGAAGGTAACCTTTCCGATGCCCTAAAAACTGTCCGAGTAAAGCAGCAGAATTTAAACTGGAAACAAAATTCCATAGGCTCTGTAAGAACACTTACAGTGATATGCTGCGCTGGGATGTCTTTCAAGTGAGGCAGGAGAAAGGCTTCACTGTATGCAGAACGAAGAATTGCGTTTCTGTGTAGGAATAAAGGAAACTCTTATGCCAATAGAGGCTTTTCTACTAAAATTATGATTCATTCCCTCTCCTGATCATTTTTTAATGTTTATATGAAAGGTTTACTTTTCCAGAAGAGTTCTATCTCTGAACATCCTCCTAATCACTAGAGATCATCTTGAATAATTCACTATGAAAAATAATTGATATTTATTCAGAATACCAACTTCACCTGGCTGGCGTAGCTCAGTGGATTGAGCACGGGCTGGGAATCAAAGTGTCCCAGGTTCGATTCCCAGCCAGGGTACATTCCTGGGTTGCAGGCCATAACCCCCAGCAACCGCACATTGATGTCTCTGTCTCTGTCTCTCTTTCTCTCCCTCCCTAAAAATAAATAAAATCTTTAAAAAAAAAAAAAAAAAAGAATACCAACTTCAGAATTAATATAGGTTCTACCTCAGTATAGCTTTTTAAACAACAACAACAAAAAACAAAACGGGTTGTCCTGGCTGGTGTGGCGCAGTGGGTTGAGCGCCAGCCTGCAAACCAGAAGGTCACCACTTCAATTCCCACTCAGGGCACGTGCCTGGGTTGCCAGCCAGGTCTCCAGCTGGGGGTACGTGAGAGGCAACTGATCGATGTAGCTCTTGTACATCAATGTTACTCTTCCTCTCTTTGTCCCTCCCTTCCCCTCTCTCTAAAAATAAGTAAATAAAATCTTTAAAATAAAAAGCTATTAAAAAATAAAACAGGTTTAACTAAGTTGTTTTTAACATACCATTGAATGCACTCCATTTTTAAGCAGAAACTGAAAAAAAAAATTGAAAAGAAAAAAACCCTAATTACTCATCAGTTGCTGCTTGTCATTTGACTCTGCACCCTGGAGAGAGACAATACAAGGGAAACGTTTCGAAGGATACAGCAGAGCTGCTCTTTTTGGTATCACAGGGCATGAGGCGGTCTCCTCCACGGTGGCCTGAGGCTTTTCCTTCAGTGCTCTCTCACAGTTATCACAGCTGTCTTCTTCAGGGTTGAAGCCGTTCTGGAGAATTTCAGTTTGCGCTTCCATTTTCTCGTCATGTGCAGCATCGCTGTAGTCGGAAACTGAGTCCATATTGATGCTTGTCTCTTGAAGTGTGCTATCACCAACACTATCATGTTAATTAAAGCAAGAAAGTCTCATCACTCTTTGAACTTACTTAAAACATTGTCATTTCCTAAGGGTTGAAAACTTTAGAAATTAAACAACATAAGGGATTAAAAATGCGGTGAAGGAAAAGGACCACCGGCTTCTACCTTACCTCAAGAAAACCTTCAAGCAAGCACAGGTGACCGCTTCAGGGATGTCGGGGAACTGCTGCAGGCAGAGCTGTAGCATCTGCACGTCCGTCCTTTCTAAGGCAACCTCCATCAAGCCAGGGCACAAGCTAAGAAAACATGTATCATCTTCACATACTAAGAAAAGTCTCAATTGCAAATAATTTAAAGCTTTTTCAGAGTATGAGAATCAGAACAGTAAAAAACAAGGTAAAAACAGGTATACATGGAAAGACTAGTGCACAAACATTTACCTGTAAGAAAGCACATGCATTTGGACAAGCTGCATCAGAGAGTTTCGGGGATAAAATGATGGTTCTGTTTTACATCTTCCCAGAAGTCCTATTACTATGTCCCCAATGATTGTATGAAAGTCAGGTGTCCGCTTAATAGCCAAAAATTTACGTAGTTCTACTTCAATGTGTTTTTCTGAATCTTCCTGAAAGGGGAGAAGTAAAGAATACAGTCTGGTACCTTAATCAATGTCACTCTGAACTTAAAAGTGTCCCATCAACATTAAAAACAAAATTTATTTATTTATTTTTAGAGGGAAGGGTAGGGAGGGAGAAAGAGGGGGAGAGAATCATTGATGTAAGACAGAAACATCAACCGGTTGCCTCTTGTATATGCCCCAACTGGGGACTAAACCTGCAACCCAGCCATATGCCCTGACTGGGAATCGAGCCAGTGACCTTCTGCTTTGAGGGGTGATGCCCAGCCACTGAGCCACCCTGGTCAGGGCAACATTTTTTAAAGTCACTGAAAGAAGTCATGCATTACTTAAAACTGGAGTTGATATTACAATGTGCTGCAGAAAGACAAATGGCAAGTTAAAAAAAAGAAAAACAATTCAAGGGTTTAGAAATCAAATCTTGAAGAGGCTAAATTACAAACATATTCAATGCAAAGTTGAACCAGATATTGGTGAGGGCACCACCACCACAAAATGCTTAGTGAGGCAAATAAGCGAAAGTACTGGATCACTCCAACCACCTTAAGATGTACAAATGTTTGCTAGAACTATAAAAATGATCATAAAAATAAGATAGAATAAAAAGTAAATAGGATTTCTTTTAACCACTTGAGTTAATTTTTCTCATTTCTAATGTTTTTAAATATACCTTTATAGTTGATAAAAGTTGTTTGGATGCTGGAACCTCTGGCTGTACACTTGCTTCCATTTTCCTTCTTCTTAACTGTAATTAAGTAAATTGATTAGGATCTTAAAACAATACAAAAAGCTCTAGTATACATTTAGAAGAATATAACACATCCCAAAGAGACGAGTAAACTTATGTTCTAATCAACTTTTTGTAACAGTTTATTGTGTTATAGTGAAAAGTGGGTTTATTCCTACTTTTAACTTAATATCTTTAACACTTTTAAAGTTTTTTTTTGTTCTTATTTTATTTATTTGCATTTGAGTCTTTTTTTTAAATCCTCACCCAAGGACTTCCTTACTGATTTTAGAGAGAGAAGCGAGGGAGCTAGAGAAAGAGAGAGAAACATTGATCAGTTGCCTCTCATATGTGTCCTGACAGAATCGAACCTGCAACCTGCTGATTTATGAGACGACTCTCCAACAAACTAAGCCGCACCAGGCAGGGCCCAGTCTTTTTTTTTTGAATCTTATTGATTTGAAAGTTAGCGAGAAAGTGTATACGTGTTGGTTGACTCTTATATATGCCCTAACTGGGGACTGAACCCACAACCTTGTCATATGGGGGAAGGGTCATAGGATGACAGAAGGCAGAGCTCACCCTTGGGACCCGACAAGCTGAGGTACTGGTGTCTGCGGCCTGGGAGTTGGGGACCCTTGCTCTAACTTACCCAGCCAGGGCGTTATTTACTATTTTTTAAACACAAAATAAAATCCTTATACTCAGGAAGATATTATTACTAATTGTGAATTGGTCCGTTTTGACACCTGAATGTTACCCCAAAACATGCCCATAAAAATTAACTACTAGGATATGCATGTCATTTTTGGATAAAGGCTGTCAGGTTACTGAGTTTAAGATTTACTAATGAACAAAATAGAAACAGACTCACAGATACAGAGAACAGACTGACAGCTGACAGAGGGGAGGGGGTTGGGTGAAAAGGTGAAGGGATTAACGGCCTCAAACCTCACAGACACATAACAGTATGATGATTACCAGAGCAAAGGGGGCAGTTGGGTGGGAGGCGGTAGAAAAGTGTAAAGGGGGGAATAAATGGTGATGGAAGGAGACCTGATTTGGGGTGGTGAACACACAATACAATTTACAAATGATGTATTATAGAACTGTACACTTGAAACCTACATAATTTTATTAACCAATGTCACCCCAATAAATTCAATAAAAAAGATTTAAACTGCCCTGTCATTAAGATCAAAGCTTAAGAGTTGTACAGATATGAATCACTGAAACAGTTCAGCCTTTTTTCGTTTTATAATATTTGCACTAACATTTGTATTTCAGCTACCAAACTTACAACTCTCTTTGATGACTCTGAGTTCTGGGATCCGAGTCCAGACCCCTGGGAGGTTTCCCAGTTTACAAACTGAGGCATGGTGTGAGCGCCTAAGAAAACACAAAACACATGATTTCTAGAATTCTTTGACCTATGGTATTTTCCCAACCAATGAATGAAAAACAAAAAACAACCACTTATGCACAATTCAGGTGAGGCTTTAAAGTCCATTTAATTCTACTGATAACCCCGGGTCAGTAGTCACAGTGCAGTAAAAGCCTATGTGCCCAGCAACACTGAAGCAGATAGAGGAGATCACTGGTAACCCAGGATTCTCTCAATGCCCCTAAAGTCAGAAACACTCTGGTGTTCAAAACCACAGTGTAGCTCTTTAGCCTGTGGCAATACCTGCAATGTGAATGGCCTGTTCCCAAGGTAGATACCTGGGTCGAGAAAATTTCAATAAGCAGCGGCAAATTTCAACATTAAGAACAGGCTCTGTAAATTGATGGTTGTAGAAATCTACATATCAAACTGGAAGTTAATAAAATGGTTTAGAAGTTAACAGAATGGCTTATATTAATAAAACAAACTAGTAAGTTCCTACCTGGATCTTGACTGTTCTTGAGTTTTCCGAGAGCACCTGCTAATGACGACGCTTCACACTTGTATGGAATCACAGATAGAAATTTCCCATGTAGCATAAACAAATTGTCTCCATAATACCAGAGCTATAAACAAAAAATGTGATCATTTTCTCTCAATTATGACCTGATTCAACAAAGCCATATAACTTATAACAGTAACTTGGGGTGTAAGCAATCTTAATATAAAATAAAAGGCCATCACCAAATTAAGCCACCTTCTAGAATAATCTCATGTACAACTTATTAATTTGGTAGGTTTACATAGCTCTTATTTTTGTTCACATCTGAATGAAACATAATTTAAAAGACACCCTTAACTCACAAAAATCTGATCAATATATACATTGTTTAAAATTAACATGGTCACTAATACACATCTATTAATTAACATGATAATTAACAAGTCTACTGTAACAAGGGCAACACTATCATGATGTATTAAATAAAAAAGGCAGAGTTGAACAGAATCTAATGACTCCAATTATAAAATTGTAAAAATAAAACAGGAATAGCAATAAAAAGCTCAAGGGAATGTGGAAATCAAAACTAATGGTAACACAGTGAAACTGTGAGTGGTTAATTTTGTTAAAATTATTTGTGTAGCCCTGGCTAGTGTATAGCTCAGTGGATTATGCACAAGCCTGCAAACCAAACATCAATGGTTTGACTCCCAGTCTGGGCACATGCCTGGGCTGCAGTGGAGGGAGCACTAGAGGCAACCACACATGGGTATTTCTCCCTCTTTCTCCCTCCCTTCTCCTCTCTCTAAAAATAAATACATAAAATCTTTTTTTAATAAAGACTTTTGGTATAGGACTATTGCAAACCAAAATCTGGAATGCATCTCATCCTCTAATTCTTTTTTTTTTTTTTAAGATTTTATTTATTTATTTTTGGAGAGGTAAGGGAGGGAGATAGAGAGAGAGAAACATCAATGTGCGGTTGCTGGGGCTTATGGCCTGCAACCCGGGCATGTACCCTGGCTGGGAATTGAACCTGCGACACTTTGGTTCGCAGCCCGCGCTCAATCCACTGAGCTACACCAGGCAGGGCTTAATTCTTTTTTTTTTTTTTTAAGATTTAATTAATTTATTTTTAGGGAGGGGAAGGGAGGGAGAAAGAGAGAGAGAGAGAGAAACATCAATGTGCGGTTGCTTCTCATGTGGCCCCCACTAGGGACCTGGCCAGCACCCCAAGTATGTGCCTTGACTGGGAATCGAACCTGCGATGCTTTGGTTCACAGCCTGCACTCAATCCACTGAGCTATGCCAGCCAGGGCTAAATAAAATATTTAAAAATATATTTGTTTAAATAAATTAGAATTAAATTGTATGGTGAGAAATGTCATCTCCTTATTCCTTTTCAATTATCAGTAAGTCCTATAACCTTGATTTACATATTGTATATGAATACTCATTTACGAAACAACCAATACTCACTGGCGCCTTTGCTAGACAGTGACGTCACAATGGAAAACCAAACAGACAAGGAACCCTGTCTCAGGAAGTTCACGGTCTAGTCTGTTTAAGTATTAATTCTTTAAGTATTCTTATGTAATTTCATGATAATGTTGAACATATAACCTAAAAGACTAATTTAACTAGCTATAATTTAGTCTTACATAAGGAAACAAACAACCAAATTAAATACAATCTTTCAAGTAAAAATATATTTCTTATTTTAATCAAAAACTGCCAGCACTGTCCCTCCCAGAAGCACACCCACGCCTTTCTACACTCTCAGGTGTGTATCTCCTAAACTCAAAGGGACCTTTCAGGCTTGCAGCCAGAGAAGCAATGTGAGCAGCTCCCAGGCCACACCCTGATGCTGTCTCCAAGGTCCCTTTGCTCTGCCTTTCCAGTGAGCAGAAGCAGCCCCACCTAGGCTCTCTCCTATCGCTTCTTCTCTCCTAAGCCCTTCCTTGTTTCGGGGTCCCCAGCTTTAATAAATGTACTCTCAAAATCAACAAAACAAAACAAAAAGCCTGTCAAAACATTTAGATCAAAGAGGTCTCTTCCTTTATTAGGAACAAAAATAACTAAATTTAAAAAAATTTTCAAGTACAAAAACTTACTTGACCACTGGTACCTTGCGGTAATTCTTTTGAAATCTGTAGTGTTTGAAATTTTGTGTTCCATATGGAGAGGCATTCTGTAAAAGACAGAAATTCAGAAGTCGCAGAAAAAAATGAATGAGTGATACCTCACGGAAGGGCAAGGGGTGAATCACAGTTAAACACACAAGTCTTGCCTTAGTAAATATAAAAATGAGTAATGACAATAGTGAATGCCACAGAAATTCAAAGGAATTAGATCTCATGACAAGAAATGGACACATGTGGGGGTAGGGCATATAGGGGATATCTGTGTACTTACCCCTCAATTTTGCTATGAACCTTTAACTGCTCTAAAAAATTAAAGTCTTAATAATAATAATAATAATAAAATAATAATATGGTGATATGGAAAGACCTCTCTGATATCTCTGAATAATATGGAATATCTCAATAAGGTAACCCTCTCATAATGGTTACTGGGTTTCTGCTGGTAGATCAAGAACCAGAACGAGGAAGGACGGGGGCTGACAGACAGAAGCTCGGCATGGTGAAATGGTTAAGAGCCAGGACTTAAGAGGGGTAAGGTACAGGGCATAACAGAGTCAACCTGCTTGGGCGGAACCCTAGTCCACTACTTGGTTACCTAACACCTTAGTTTCCCGACTTGTAAAACAGGGACGATAACTGTAGTTTCTCTCATAGGTTTGTTGGAGGATATAACACGATACAAACAATGAGATGATTTAAGTCAAATGCCCGGCACATAGCTATGCTATCACTATTAGGTCCTACATATAAGAGGAACAGAAGAACAAAGTATACAGGTAAGAATGGGCAAATTAAGTTTGTAGTCAATAGGGAGTGTGGCCTGAATAAAGCAGAGGGTTCGTGCTCTTAAGTTAGAAGAGACTGGAAAAGGTGGATGGGGCGTAGGCTGTGAGGGGACATGGATGCTAAACAACAGATTCTGAGGTTTATAATAGGGGCTGAGAGACCCCAATCTTGCACTGGCCAGGAAAGATGCGTCTTTCATGACAGACTGCAAGTCTGTGTGTGTGGAGGAGTGTCTGGGGGTGAGGCGATGATGAGAATCCTGCTCCGAAGTGAGAGACAAAAAAAGCAGGCAAGCAGGCTCCAGATTTCAAGCTAAGTCCAGTGGATTTCCATTCTGTGGAAATGCTGCCAAGCCATGAATTGAATGCAAGAGAAAAGTAGTGATATAAGGAAATGTTTTACAAAGATTAACGAATGCAAGATGAAATCAAAGACTTATTCAAGAACTAGGAAGCTAAAAAATAATTAGGATGGTAACAAATGGGGAAAGAGACTAAGAGGTACATTTCGAAGTAAAACCTCAAAGGACTTCGCATTGATTGGAGCTCAGTTACCTCGAGAAGCTGGCAGTGGTGGTCCCAGGACAGCTACGTGGTCTTGATCCAGGACGGCAAGCGCAAGGCCACGGCGGGCGTTTCCAGATGCTACAGTCTGGAGCAACAGTGAACTGACCACCTTCTGATTCTGATTGTTTTCAGGATCGCTCGGATGTATCGGTATTAAGGTTTCGTATATGCACCCATCAGAGCCTGTTGAAAACCAGTACTTCTGTTCACTATTGGATAAACAGCATTTCTATATCTGTTAAAGTTAAATGTATATACTAGTTGTTTATAAGAGTTTCTCAGTTTGATACAAGATTCAACCAAAAAAAGAAACAAATGTTAACAATCACACTGCTTTATGTTTTCACTTAAAGAAGATACTATAAGCTCAAAATTGAGGGAGGAGTATCATTAATAAAAGCCTACCTAAGAAATGTCATAACAGCCAAGAAATAAACTGTAAATAGTGTAATGAAATATGAAAGGGGACTATGAGAGGTAGATTAGAGACAATCTAGTCACCGAAAGGCTGTATCTCTCGTCAGAAAAAATTAGCATTCTGGTCTATACATTACATTGCTTCTTATTCCATCGCCCTGAATAACCATATGTAATTGCTGTTTTTTGTAGGTCAACTGAATCTGGCAATTCCATGTGGTTCTGGGAATGTTACAGGAAGATTTTATGACCCTTTGATTCAGAATCCCTATTTCAATGTTCACTAAGCTAAAGTATAACTTGCAAACTTCTATTTAACAACAAATATGTCCCCTAGGTTAAACTTGAAGAAAACCAGTCCCTGTGAAGCAAAGGCATCAAGCAGGCTACAATAACCCTGTAGATATGAATAATGATGGGAATGTGTTTCGGAGCAGCCATTACAAACACCTGTGCACTAGAACACTTCATGAGGATCTTCTCTTATTTTTTTCTTCCCACCACCTTCTCAAAGAGAAGCCAAAAAGGGTTGGGGGGAGAGGATACCGCAAAGGCATTTTCTTTCCCTAGGCATAAGACTGGGGTTATACTTTAGACCATTATATAGAGGTAAACTCCAAGACATTAAAGAAATCTGTAGAACATTGACTGGCTTAGGCCAAGATTGCTTTGCTAATTTCCTTTTACCCACCTGTCTCCATCACTGTTCAAAGAAGAACACACTAAATCTTAAGATTGGGAAAAAGGAATGGAGGGGTTCATTCAATAACAACCTTAGATATTTTATGGTTCACCAGTTATGAAATCAAAGAACCTGGTCTTACTGCAATAAGATTAAAGGCGATTTTTCCTTTTTTGTTGGTATTGTATTATTTACCACCTATGATAAACTTTAAGAAATAAACATTATCTGCTCTAGTTGGTGTGGCTCAGTGGAATGAGCGCTGGCCTGTGAACCAAAAGGTTGCTGGTTTGATTCCCAGTCAGGGCACATGCCTGGGTTGCAGGACAGGTCCCCAGTGAGGGGTGTGCAGGAGGCAACTGCACACTGATGTTTTTCTCCCTCTCTTCTCCTCTCTAAAAATAAACAAAATCTTAGAAAAGAAAAAGAAAAAGAAATAAAAGTTATCTGCAGAGAACCAGTGACTTAAGCATAACCAGAGAGGGCAAGTGCAAAACGTGAAAGCACAAATGCTTATAAAGAAGTCCGCAAATGGAAGTGCTACAACAGAAAACTGCAGAAACAAATACTACCCTGTAATAGTCCTCTACTTATAATCACGGTCAATTTAAAGAAAAATACTTACTTAATGACATCAAAGAGATGAACTTCCGATCCACAGATGCAGCAAAACTCTGTATAACGGATTTTTCTTCTTGTCCAATTAAGAGTGTGTATTTGCTTAAGACACGTGAGTTAAACATTTGTACATAAGCAAAGTAATTTCCATGCTGCAAAAAAAGTTATTTTATTAAATAAAATACATACATTTTAAGTATATATTATGTACATTTAAGTATGTAATATTCTCATTTTAACCAACTAGAGAAATACTAAAGTCCAATTTTAGTTTTAAAAAGAATGTGATTTTAAAATGTCATCCACCATGGTCCAGGAATTAAGAGTTATCACTTACTCTTTCAGTAATGAAGATTAAAACAGGATGCCTAAACACCATAAAAATCTTCGTCCACCTAAAAAAATTAAAAGTATGAAATGTCAAATCAACAGTTGAGAGAAATATACCATCAATCTAAATTTGAGAATATCTTTTATTATATATATGTATTTTTAGAGCCAGGAAGATATCAGAGAGCACTTAATTTAGTGTTCCAAAATACATGGTGGGGCAAAAGCAGGTTTACAGTTGTGAGTATACGAAACAAAGCTTACTCTTTTATTATTAAATGTATTCCTTTTCATACAAACAACTGTAAACCTACATTTGCACCACCCTGTATATGCCATAGGGAATTAGTAGGTATTTCTCTGTCAAATGCATCTCTGGATTAAATGATTAAATGCCAGTTGCTGAACTTCCCAGACTCTTAAAGACAATAATGTGATTTGCAAAGTTTCCAAGGGGGGTGGGGTATGACAGCAGGCAGTGTTTCCCAAACTTGATGGAGCCTCTCATCTGCCTTCTTAAAGCGACAGGGGGAACTGCGATGAGGCACAGGAGGGTAAAGGGATGTAAACCAAGGTCGCACAGGCAGTTTTTGACGAAATGGGTATTAGAACCCAGATCCTCCATCTTTTTTTCCAGCCACTCACAGTTTAGGGGCATTCAAAGGAGTCCAAGATATAACTAACTGGTTATCGTCCACTAAGTACAAGTTTTTGCTTTGACTTTTAGAAATTTAGTTTGATTCAGGTGGACCTGAAGAGACAGCAAGTAAATTTAATAGAAAATGTGATAAAATAATGGGGACTGGAGAGATATGAAATCATGAAATTTCCTTCTATCATTGGGGTGAGTCATTTTCCTGGTTTTATTCCAGGATTTGGGAAAGCAGAGGGCTCAGAACACTACTGTCTCACTAACAGTGAGCCACACATTTCCTCAGGGGTCAGGGTTCTGACTAAGGCACTCGGGAAAAAAACAGAAACAAAGATTTGTCTGTTTTGAGATTACTTACTTCATCTTCAAATAACTGACTATCCAGGTCCCTTTCATTAGAACAAGACTCATATGATCCTACAGTTTCCTCAATCATTTATCACCCGAAAAGGTTTTGGGGGGTGTTATTTTGGCGGAGGTCTTATGAACAGTCTTCAATTAGTCTTTTATGATGTTTATAACCAAAATGACTTTAAAAAATATTTTATTTATTCAGAGAGAGGGGAAGATAGGGAGAGAGGGAGAGAAACACCAGATAAACATTCCATTGGCCCACAACCCAGGCATGGGTCCTGACCAGGAATCAAACTGGAGACCCTTTGGTTTACAGGCTCAAATCACTGAGCCACACCAGCCAGGGTTCGAAATGCAGTGTTATAAAAAACATGCAAAGTGCATTTTTGGTTTGGTAAAAATTCACTTACAAATGTTAGAACTTACTTAATTACTTCTTCTTCAGAGATAACAGTTTCAATTTTCTGCTGGGGCTCCGCAAGCAAGGCCTCTAAACCACGAACCGCACCTTCCTTGAATAACACCAAAGGTTCTGTCCCTTGTATTGAATGTACTCTGTATACATCAGCTGACAACTACAAGAATATACACATATTTTAATTTTTATTCTAAACCAATTACCACTTAATAGAATAAAAGCTTTTAGAGAAGGCTTATTTTTAAGGACTGATTTGTTTTCATCTTAATTCAACTGTTTTATAACTACCTATGGTTTCAAAGTCAAATCTACAACATGTAATACATAGAGAAATGTAACTGCTATTCTGCCTACCCTGCCCCTGCTCTCTGCCCCGTAAGTAATCATTTCTATTCATTTTTAGTTTATCCTTCCATTGTGATTACTGGAGGTTAGACTACAACCAAAGCTGGAAGTGGGGAGTGGTACAAATAAAGCCACTAATGGAATCATAAGCAATCCTGGTGTTAAGGACTAATGCCATGATTACAACTATAGCCTGCAACCCCCCCCACCCCACCCCCACCCCTGCCCAGAGAAGTTAACTCCACTGTATAAAATTCAGGACCTTGTCACTGCAAGGTCAATGAAAAGACTGGTGCCAAGAAACAGCACAGTGAGCAGGCTGGAAGTTTCAAGGGTGCAGTCACCAACTGCCATTACATCTGAATCAGCTCTACTATAAGCCACTTCTAAAATGTGCCAATCCCTGGCTGGAGTAGCTCAGTGGATTGAGCGCGGGCTGCGAACCAAAGTGTCGCAGGTTCGATTCCCATCCAGGGTACATGCCTGGGTTGCAGGCCATGACCCCCAGCAACCGCACATTGATGTTTCTCTCTCTCTATCTCCCTCCCTTCCCTCTCTAAAAATAAATAAATAAAATCTTAAAAAAAAAAATGTGCCAATTATATTTAGAGTTAGACATTTCAAACTGGAATTTTCTAAATTAGCCTAATTTTAGATCCTCATTTTATAAGTAAGAAGTTAATTAACATTTGTTAGGTCATTAACAAAAAAGGCAGTCAGTGGTGGCTCTTTTTTAACGCATTACGTACCACTCTTAAAATGTAAAATGCACGAATTCTGCAGGGTTTGTTTTACCTATTTGAAGAAAGGTGCAGTGAAGTTGTTCTCACAAGGGACACAACACCAACATCTAAACTCATAGAAATAACTACAAATTTATTATTCAGGAGTTATCTGAACCCTTAACCCATGGGATAATAAAGTTTATTCACTAACATTGACTCATGAACTGAGATGTGTTACCAAGATATACCGTAAGATTACTAGAATGAAAAACTGTAAGTTTTATGCTCACTTTCACAGAAGCACTAAAATAAATAACCTACTACAATGAAAATTATTCCATGTCACCAATAAGGTAATAAATGTTGGAAAATCCAAAGACTTACTGTAGCTTTAAATACTTTATCCAGGTTTACATCTTCATTAGTCCATAATCTCAAAACCTTAAATTAAAACATAAAATGTCAAGAGTATTCCAATTTTCATTTACGTGTAATAAACGAGCATTTCATTTGTGTTAAGTATATATAAAAGTTTTAAAACTCACCTTGTTATCATGTACAACAATGTACTCTCCCGTCTGAAAGTTGCACACAGCTGGACATGTTATAATTTGACCTTGTTTCACTGACCAGCTCCCCAAGGGCTTCTGATCAGAAACCTAGTAAAATACAGTGTTCAAAAAGTCAACTTCTGACTATAAAAACAATTAAATTTACAACTAAAAGTGACAGTACTCAGTAACTGAGCCAACATGTGTGGAACCCGCTGGCTCTTTGTCAGACTTCCCAGAGAACCACTGTGCTTCACACAGGCAGTATGAAAATAAAGTTCCAGAGAAACAAAAGCTTTTTCAGGAGGATAATGGAATTCCAGGGCATCTAAAGGGTGAGGTAGCTGATGCCCTCCAGTATGTACATTTGGTGGAACAGCATATGCCATACACCAGCTGGGTGTGGCGTCCCTTCCCAAGAAGCAGGAGCAATCAGTTGGTTCAGTTTCATTCAGCTTTCTATCGACCAGTAAACTGATTAATACCTGAGTTCTTTCTTTGGGGATCAATATTTATTGACTTGTACTAACTGACACCAATAAACCAGTCTTTACCATGAAAAAAAAAAAGATGGTATTCAAGGAATTTCCCAAATTAAAAAAAAAAAGAAGAAGTAGGCACAAAAAGACAAGTCGTTTGATTCTACTTAAGAGAGAGTAGAATGGTGGCTGCCAGGAGCTTGGGGACTGGGGGTGGGGGACATTGTTTAATAGGTACAAAGTGTCAGATTTGCAAGATGAAAAGAGTTCTGGACATGGATAGTGGTGATGGCTACCCAACAAGGTGGACATACTTAACATCCTGAACTGCACGATTTAAACAGATGGTTTAAGACAGTAATTATGGACATTTTACCACCATTAAAAATATAAAAATATAAACAACAGTACATTAAAAATTGATTGCATTGTGCCTTTGAATAGGGGTATGGGAAATTAAGTAGGCATAGTTGGGATCATACCAATCCCAATCAGCCACTCCGACCTTATGCAGGAATTGCAAAATTTTAAGTCCACTTGACAGCCCAGATAGAAACCAATGGAGTCATCAGAAGAGTCAAAACAAATAGTATTGGGAACTGTTTGCAGCCTGTCTCCAAAAGTGCAAAGTAGATTATCAAGCTTCTGAAAGAGACATAAAACTATATTCAGCAGCCCGCAAAAAGTAATTACTACCCAACCACCAAAAGTAAAGCTGCCTGAAAGGTGTGCCTTCAGGCATTAGGATGAAAAGGGGGCGGGGCGAATACATTTCTCGGGACTCGATTCCTACATTTACACCGTTTACTTAGTTGGCAACAGAATATTCCTAAACAAGATTCCCATCAAGATACTAACTGAGCAAAAACAAAACAAAACAAAAAGCCACAAAACTTTTCCCCGAGGGAAGAAGCGTATGGATACAGGGACAAACCAGTTCCCACCAAGTCGGTCATCCTCTCCTACCCAATCAATCTCCATTCAAACCCTTCAGTGGGCAGACAGGGTGAGAGACCCCAGTAGGGGATCTTAGCAAGACCATCTACGGGAGATGCATAGCAAAAGCACAGGTTTCCTTTCCTTTCCGAGTCTTGGAGTCCACGTGCACTTAGACGCTCTGCAGCCCGCAAATCGGAAATACGCCTCTCTCTCCAGGAAAACGACCAAATCAAATTCTAGGCTTCTTTCAGCGTTCTGGAGAAGCGGAGCCGGCTTTCCCCCAAACTCGCTCGAGGATCTTTTTCTGAAGCTGGGAGAAACCCAATTCTCCGGCTCCGGGCTCAGCAATGGGCGAGACGGCAGCGGGGGTGCTCCAATTCTATCGCCCTCACCTTATAAAGGATGACAGTCCTGCCGCTGTCCGTCACTAAGAACTGGTCTGTTTTGTCGCTCTGCTCCACTCCGAGGAGTCCATCAGGCCCGGCACCCAAGGGTACCGCAGACAACGTGAATTCCTCCTCCAGGGCTGCCATCTTGGGCAAACCTACGGACCGCTGCGCATCCCTCCCGGCAGGCTTCGCGCTTTCTCTCGCGAGAAATAGGAGTCCGAAAGGACGGAAATTCGCCAAAAGAGAAACCTGCTCGCGGAACTGCGACCTCTGGCGGGCGGAGCGGACGCGTGGAGGATGAGAACGGGTGGGCGGGGCCTGGAGTTTGAGTCTAGACTCCACCTCCCAGGCCACGCCCCAGCGAGGCCCGGCTGTACTCCTTTTGGGGAGAAGGGGCGGGGAAACTCACTTGTAGCGCACGGAGGTTTCAGTGCTATTGCCGTCTGAGGACCTGGGAAGATGGGAGCGGCAAGTGGCCGAATATAAATTAGTGGGTGTTTTTCAAAACTTTTTATTTTAAGGGAATTCTCCAGAAATTCCTACCGCGGCTTCCCGGAACAATGTGCCAAAGAAAAAATATTTAGATCTTCATATAAATTCTTAATAACATGCTGTACCTGAATGGAATGCCTAATCCCCCTGCGCCTCAGAACCCATCACAGAGGTCTAGTCTCTGCTGCCTTTCAAACCCCCTAGGTCGCCTCTCTCTCCCCGAGTTCTCTGAGCACCAGAGGGGAAGACTCTAGCTTAGGGAAAATTCAAATTTATCTAATGAAGAAGGTGAAGGTCCCTGGGGCAATTTTTGGCAAGACATCTTGCAGGGGTGTCCATCCAGCACTGGCTGGGGCCCAGGATGGCCATGAATGCAGCCCAATACAAAATAATAAATTTACTTAAAACCTTTTTTTTGCTCATCAGTTTTCATTAGTGTTTGTGTATTTAATGTGTGGCCCAAGACAACTCTTCTTCCAGGGTGGCCTAGAGATGCCTAAAGGTTGGATACCTCTGAGTCTAAAGAGTTCTAAGGTACATGACTGATTCAATAAATAATATTTAAAAAATCCAAATAAAAAGATAAATTACTGCCCTTGTGGGGTAGCTATATTGGTTAGAGTGTCTGTCCCTTATGGCAAGACTGCTGGTTGGATCTCCTGTCAGGGCACATACAGGAAGCAACCAATGAATGCATGAATAAACGGAACGACAAATCAATCTCTGTCTCCTCCTTCTCCCTCTCTGTAAAATCAATAATTTTTAAAAAGATTTTATTTATTTACTTTTTAGAGAGAGGGGAAGTAAGAAAGAAAGAGAGGGAGAGAAACATCAATGTGTGGTTGCCTCTCCCAAACCCCCTACTGGGGACCTGCCCTGAAACCCAGGCACGTGCCCTGACTGGGAATTGAACCTGCAACCTTTCAGTGCACAGGCTGGCGCTCAATCCACTGAACCACACCAGCCAGTGCTCAATAAATTTCTTTTTAAAAAAGATAAATTATACATGTTCTTAGGGAAAAGCCATCAAAATTGGCAGTTACTAAACAAACATGTAAACCATGTGTTACATCCAGGGCACAATGCCTCCACCACAGTTGAGATTCCCCTTGTGTGTGCTATTTTCTCATGGCCAGAACATTACATGCTGGCGAAAATACTCAGCTATTGTGATGAACTCAGATACTGTAAATTCTTAATAAGGTTAACAGGACTTTTATTTTTCAACATGACCAAAAATTTTAAATTTGTCCCTTCATTAGTTGAAATAGAAGTATCATGAGATTCTGCCGTAGACAGCTTAGTCTCTGTGAAATCTTCCTTTTTCTCCCAGCACAGTTACCGTATTTTGCTGTGCATAATGCACACTAATACTTTTGACCCAAACTTTCAGGGGAAAAAATCTTTTGGTTTCATTTTTTTTTAAGATTTTATTTATTTAGTTTTATAGAAGGAAGGGAGCAAGAAAGAGAGAGAGAGAGAGAAACATCAGTGTGCGGTTGCTGGGGGTCATGGCCTGCAACCCAGGCATGTACCCTGACTGGGAATTGAACCTGCGACACTTTGGTTTGCAGCCCGTGCTCAATCCACTGAGCTATGCCAGCCAGGTTGGTTTCATTTTTAACTCAATGTTTTATTTATTTTTTAAAAAAATTTGTGTTTTTTTATACATTTTAGCGTTTCTTTTTGAACATTTTATGGTACAAGAAATTTTATGTAACAAATAATTACAAAACACAAGAATGTTTCTGGTAGTATCCATGTATAATGTGCATCCTTATTTTCCCCTAAAAAAATTGGGCAAAAAGGTGAGCATTATACATGGCAAAATATGTGTAATAAACTTCTACTGTACTGAGCTTTGTTTGGTGCAAATTGCCCATATTTCCATTCCAGCCTAGACTTCTCCTCCAGGAAGTGTTCCTGACTCTCTCAGACTGGATTAAATGTCTGATGCAGGGCATTTAATCACCCAGTACTGAGATGGTCTAGTTACTCATATATCTCCCCTGTTACATTTATTTCTTTAAAGAAACTCTGGATTTATCACTTGTATCTAGCATAGTGCCCATCACATAAAAATCTGTGGGACAATGAATAAACAGTGAAAGCTTATTCATAATACTGAATTTGTGCTTTCCTTCTTCTTCAGATTGAACAGTTTAAGACAGAGATTCACAAACTTTGTAATTTCAAGATTCCTTTACATACTTAAAATTTATTGAGGCCTGCCCTGGCTGGTGTGGCTCAGTGGATTGAGCATCATCCTGCGAACCAAAGGGTTGCTGGTTTGATTCCGCAGCAGGGGCACATACCTGGGTTACAGGCCAGGTCCCCACTGGGGGGCGCACGAGAGGCAACCACACACTGATATTTCTCTTCCTCTTTCTCCCTCCCTTCCCCTCTCTAAAGATAAATTTTAAAAAATTTTTGAGGCCCATAAAGAGCCTTTGTTTATATGAGTTATGTCTATAGATATTTACCATATTAGAAATTAAAATGGAGGAATTAAAAATATGAATATATTCATTAAAAAATAAACTCATCATTTTAACATAAATAACATTTTTATGAAAGATAAATTTAAAATTAATTGAGTGGAGTGGCATTATTGTACATTTTTGCAAATCTCCTTAACCTGGCTTAATAAAAGATAACGGGATTCCTACATCTGCTTCTGCATTCAGTCCATTTTGTTATTACATGTGATACAGCTTATGGCCAGCTCCATGGTACATCAAAAAAGGACATTTTTGTTACGGTGACTGTTGAAGGCCATCATGAGAGGGTGACTTTTCAGTAATGACATGAAAGAGAAGAGGGAGCAAATCATCTTGGCTAAGAGGTTAGCTGAGGCAAGAGCATTCTTGTAGCAAGTACAAAGGACCTGTGGCACAAGCAGGGAGCTTTATGCAAAGGAGGTTACCATAATAACCCAGATGAGAGATGATAAAGATACCATTAGGGAGGCCTTCCAGTTCACCTTGTCTAAAACATTCCATCATTCTCTTAACTCAGCAAATTATTTATTTCATTTTCATCACAGTGTGTAATTACTTTGCTCACTCAGCTAGGCCCCCCAGTAAGCTTCTTGAAGGGGTCTCTGTCTGTCAAATTCACCTGTACATCCCCATTCCCTAGCACTTAGTAGGCACTCCATCAAAGTGTGCTGGGTGATGGAATGAATCACTTTACGTCTTTGTATCCATGGCACCAGTAATTGTGTCTGATCCATGTAAAGAGTTTAATGCATTTTTGTTGAATAAATCACATTTACATGGCAAGCCATTGTAATAAATGGGATGTGGATGGGATCCATTAGGACAAAGTTAAGACTTACTGGCTGAGAAAGCTGGAGCTGTGCTTGCATGTTTGTTTATAAATTTGAGTCTATGTCTGGTAAACTATTAAAGGAGATTACAATCCTTTTTGGAAGGTCACCAGCTGTAACAAGGGAACCAGGAGTCTTCTGCACCCGGCTTGCGATCGCAGTGGAGCGACGTGTTCCACTTCCAAGATGCATCAGAAGAGGTCAGCGAGCAGGAACAGGGCCTGGCCCTTCATCACTGGTTGGAGACGTTTAAGGGCTGGTCTTCAAAGGCAGCTGTGACCCTGTGCACTTCACTGTGAGCTGTGGGTGTTCTGTCTGGTGTGTTGGTTGTGTTTACACTGCTTGGATGCCTAGCTGTGAAGACCAGGGGAAGATATGGCCTCCCGCATTCAATTCATAAAAGAGAATCAGGTGATAAACATAAATGAACAAATCTAATTATATAATTGGTAGGAAAGGATGTCTGCCCATATTCAAAAGGAAGAATGCTACCCATTACAGACCTGTCATGGATGGTTGATGGTCAGTGTCATGCACGGGTGGGATATAGCTGTTGCTTTGCCAAACAAACATTTCTGAAGAAACCATTCTGAAAAGAGGATGGATGGTGAGTGTGTGTGTGTGTGTGTGTGTGTGTGTGTGTATTCTGCCAAAACTTTATATTATATGGAAGTTGTGGTGGTTCTTAAGATGCTGTGAGATATATTTTTCAGTTTTAGAACCTCAAGACATTTTTTTAACCATGTGTTATGTTTAATTGTAAAGCTAAGACTAAAACAAAGGGCAGGGCTGGGTTGGAAAAAGAGTGCGTAAACAGGTACGCCTCATTTTATTATGCTTCACTTTACTCTTCCTCACAGATACTGAGTTTTTAATTTTATTTTGTTTTATTGTATTTTATTTTTTTATGGAGGTAACACTGGTTAATAATAACATTACATAATGCAAATGTTATGTAAAGTGAACCCATGACCTTTTGCTTTACAGGATGATGCTCTAAACAACTGAGCCACACCAGCCAGGACGCCTCAGTTAATTCTCTTTACAGTAGTGAAACATAATTATTTGACAACTTACATGCATGGAAATGAAGCAAATTTTGCAGGTCTGACTTCATCTGTCCAGTTCTTTTCAAGCAGAGATTGTATTTCACCTTATTCTTGAAATATTGTTCTTTCTACTTGGGATGTTATTAATATTTTTTGGAATCCCAGAAAGGGTCCAAGAAGTTTCATTTCTTATATTTGTTTCCTTTGGCAAACTTGTTTGTAGAAAGGACATTTTAACCTACTTCCCAACTGCTTTTAATGACCTCCTGTGGTTGAAAGGAAGAGACTCTCTCAAAAT